GCCGCGCTCCGCCCTTCGCGCACGCGTCTCAGCCGGCCCCGGGCCGAAGCCGAGGGCCGCGGGAGGAAGGGGCCGCGGGTCTGGAGACCCGCTCGGTCCTGGGTGGCCTCGGGGCTCGTCCGGGCGGCCTTCGGGGCCGCCTGCTGCGCGCTGGTCTCGGCTCCTGCCTCAGTTGGCGTCTCACCCCGTCGCCCAGGCTGGAGGGCAGCGGCACGCCCACGGCCACCCCGCCGTCAGCTTGCTGGGCCCCGGCGATCCTTCCGCCTCAGCCTTCGGTAGCCGCACTACAGGTCTCGGTTCCAGACGAGGCGGTGGTGCGAGCGCGCGCCACGTGTTTGGCATCGTCGACACCCGCGGCGGCGGCTCGTGCTGCTTCCGACCGGGGTGGGTGCCGGGCGGTTCCTTTAGGAGGAGCCTTTGGCCCTCTTGTGATGAGCGCAGGTTTCGCCTTCGTACCTCCTTGGCTTTGTTGTCTTGCCCGAGTGGGGCCACTGACGGCTCGACTCTTCTGTTTCAGGTATTACTCTGGCGAGAAAAAGGCCCCGGTTCTCACCATCTTCATTGGGGGAAACCATGAAGCCTCAAATCATTTGCAGGAGCTACCCTATGGTGGCTGGGTGGCACCAAATATTTATTATTTAGGTATGTGTTCGTGGGTAATTGCTTTTTGGTGTGTGGGGATGGGACGGAAGAGCCTGTGGGATTTGCGTTAGCGCTGCAGCATCTTGAGTTGTATGGTTTGGGATTTCCCTGCTTTTCGCAAAGATGTCTTCTTTACAGTTGGTTTGTTTAACTAGGACCGAAGCAAGGTTGTCATGGCCCTGAAGTCTATTAGGCTGTGACCGTCTCTCTCCCTCTCTGTCATACTATTTATTTGTTGAAAAAAATGGCAAATCTGTCTTGTAGAATTTTCCACATTCAGGATATAACTAATTGGATTACTTGTGTTATTTAAAACGTTCCTTTTCACCCATGCATTTTCTATAATCTGCATTCAGATTGACAGACCTGATTAGGTACCCTTACTGTTTGTTTTTTGAGTTGGAATCTCACTCTGTTGCCTAAGCTGGAGTGCAGTGGCATGATCAGGGCTCACTGCAGTATTCACCTCCTGGACTCAGGCAGTCCTTCCATCTCAACCTCTCAGGTAGCTGGGACTACAGGTACACGCCACAATACCTGGCTAATTTTTTGATTTTTTGTAGAGACAAGTTCTCACTCTATTGCCCAAGCTGCTCTTGAACTCCTGGGCTCAAGCAGTCCCCCCTCCTTGGGCTCCCAAATTGCTGTGATTACAGGCGAGCCACCATGCCCGGCTGTATTTTAGCCTTGGGTTTAATTTTCATGTAACTGCAGTAATTTTCATTTAGCTGCAGTAACTGTATATGGTAATTTCTGCTGTAGTTCACCTTAGTTAAAGTATTTATACTGAGCCAGACCAGTTTTTCTACTTTATTAACTGGTTAATTCTCTTTTGACAACTGCAGTATTGTGAAAAGGTAAAGTTGTCAGAAGATGATCAATCAGAAATAAATGTAGAAACTGCAGGTTTGTATACCTTATATCTGTTGACTTTCAGATTTCTTTTTTGGGGAGGCAGAGAGGGGGGAACAGGATTTATTGAGAGGACAGAAAAGCTCCCACAGTAGGAGGGTACCCGAAGGGCTTGCCCGTGCTTTCAGATTTCTGACACGTGAATCCATCGTTGGATTCTTTTTTTTTTTTTTTTTAAGTTGGAGTCTCACTCTGTCACCCAGGCTGGAGGGCAGCGGCACACTCACAGCCACCCCAGCATTGATCTGCTCCCGCGATCCTTCCGCCTTAGGCTTCCAGGTGGCCAGAACTACAGGCGCCCACTACCACACAGTTAATTTTTTGATTTATTGTAGAGATAAGGTCTCCCCAAGTTGCCCATGCTGTTCTTGAACTCTTGGGCTCAGGCAATCCTGTCACCTCGGCCTCCCAAGGTGCTGGGATTACAGGCTTGAGCCTCCACGTCCAGCCAGATGTTTTGTTTTATATTGTTTTTACCTCCTACCTCCTTACCCCCTGTATTCAGTGAGGCACCAAATTATGTCTGTTTCCCTTTCCATACCAGATCTCACTTGTCCCTTCCAGAATCTACTCAGTCTCTAGGCTGCTCTGCTTCCAGCCCTCTCCCTGGTCTACCTTATGTTTTTTAGGCATATTACTTGATAGAAAGAGTAACCTCATCATGGTGCTTAATTTTCAAATTATTTGCAGCTGTATGGAATTCCAGGGCTCTTCGTGGTTTCTTCAATTAGTGTAAGGACATTACTTTTGCCTTTAGTAATTTTATTTAACTGCATACTCTTTCAGGTTTGGCTGGTGTGGTAAAATATCGAGGAATAAGGATTGGTGGAATTTCCGGTATCTTTAAGTCTCATGACTATCGAAAAGGTATTGTTGTTTTGAGAATTATTTTTAACTCTTTGCACTTGGAGACATTCTGCAGATCAACCACCAGCAATTCAACCACAGTTTTTAATGAAATAGTGAAAAACAATTAACTTCCTATTGAATGGTATAGTGTTGGAACCAATTATTTTATTGTAATGGTATTTGGCTTATAGTAGAGTTTTGGACATTGAGGAACTTATGACAAAATCCGAATTTTATATCTTGCATTTTTCTAATGTGTGGTGACATGTGAAACAGTCACCAACAAGCATTGCAGGTTCATTGATACATGTTGTGCAACAGTAATTTGTATGACATCTTCCTCCTGGTGTTTTTCCATTGGAGCAGATGGTGTTTTGTTTTCTTCCTCCCACATTAATCATATGTAATTTATTGTCCAGTCTGTTCACCACTGCGAAAGCACTTCACACATTCTTTTTCTCCGTAAAGCCAGCTGATACTTTTTTTTACCTATATCTCAGTATAATTCCATCTCTTTATTTGCTTTTTTGTGTGCAGTTTGAATGGAAAACTTAAAGGAAAGATACATTTTTGAAAAATTTGCACTTGCATAAGTTTGTCCAGTATAATCACTACCAGTCTCTTTATGTCCCTTGAGGGGGGCATCCCAGTGGTTTGCTGAATTTCTGATATTCTTTCAGAGGGGACATTTGAGTGCAAAGGGCTACACTTTAGAACTTATGGGAAAAGAAAAAGAAACTTATATGTCCCAGAGTAACATAACATACAGTTTGACTTTGTCATTAGATTTATTCTGTGAAAGATTTTATTCTTATTTTTTATTATGACATATGTCATACATATGAAAATATAGAGAACACTATAATATAATCTGTGTGTTCACCGAGTTTTATTGAGTCTTAGTATTTTGTCATTTTTTATTTTGATTTTTGAGATACACGTGAAGTTCATTGTTTACCTCCCATTCCCCTCCTTTCTTCCTTCCCTCTCCTTGCCAGGCAGTCGCTATTCTGAATTTGGTGTTTATCGTTCACTTGAATATTTTACATCATTAGCAAATAGGTAAGAGCTTTAAACAATGTACTATATATCATGTTTTAAGCTTCATATAAATGCAGCATACTGCCTGTATCTTTCTGCAACTTGCTGCTTTAACATGTTTTTGAAATCCATGTTGATACATGTAATCTAATCTGTTCATTTATGCTTAATGTTCCATCCTAGAAGTATACCACAATGTGCTTATTCATTTCATTGTGTCTGAATGAGTTATACCTTGATTTTAAAGTTAAAGGCATAGCTTGGATTCACAGTGATTTCACAAATTCATGAATTAAGTTGACAGCCAAAAGTTATGTCCTCAGTGTAACTGCTAAATCAGTCTACTCTGTGTTGCTCTGCTTCCCAGTATTCTAAACTGTTGGCATAGATGTACAAAAATAGGCTGTCTCCTATGTGGCAGGTGTGGGTACAAATTGGAACCACTCTTGGGATGATAATTCATAATATTTGTCTATGGAAATTATAAAAGTACTCTGACCTAGCAGTCCCACTTCAGGAATTTTATCTATAAGATATGTTGCACAACTATGTATGTAAAGTTGTTTATCTCAGCCTTGTTTGTAATAGCAAAAGGCAGGAACTGGCTAAATGCATCATGGTATTTTTGTGCAATATAGTGTGCTGTGAAACCATTTTTTAAAAAGCAACAGCAGCAACTCTGTGTAACTAATGTGGGAAAAATGCCTAAGATAACCAATGTGAAAGAAACAAGGCATGGAACATGCATTAGATTACACTGCTATTATATAAATAAATATGTCATTATCCTTATAATTATATACAGTAATCAAATGGATGATACACAACAAATGGAGATAGCAACTGCTTGTCATGGAGAGGGAGGGATGAAAGGAGGACAATGGATTGAGGTCAAGGTCAAGAACAAATTTTATTACACAATGAATGCACAGAAATAGATGTATTCAGTAGCAAAATTCTGGAAACAGCCTAATTGTCCCCTCAGTGGATGAATGGGTAGAGAGGCTTTGGTGAACACGCACAGACTGGAATAGTCTTCCATCTTCAAAAAGGAGACCCTTTCATTTGGAACAACTTGGAGAATACAGAGGATGGGCAGCTAAGAACAATACGCTGGACACAAAGAAAAATACAGTGTGATTTCACTCAGATGTGGAATTTTAAAAAATAAACGAGCCAGATGCGATAGCTTACGTTTGTAATCCCAGCACTTTGGGAAGCAAAGACAGAAGGATTGCTTGAGCCCAGGTGTTCCAGATGAACCTGGACAACATAGCAAGACATCATATCTTCAAAAAAATAAAAAATTTAGCCACGTGTGGTGGTGTATGCTCATAGTCCCTGCTACTTTGGAGGCTGAGGCAGGAGGATTGCCTGAGTCGAGGAGGTCAAGGCTGCAGTGAGCCATGATTGTGCCCCCATATTCCAGTCTGGGTGACAGAATTGGATCCTGACTCAAAAAAATAAATACATCATACAGTAAAATAAAACACTTAATTTTAAAGATGTGGAGTACAATTCATGGTTAGGTATACAAATGTTCATTATGCAGGCACCCTTGTTGAGGTGTGCCCCTCCCTCCCCTGGCGGTTTCCCTCAGCTGCCAATCCCACTCCCATCCCCTGGCAGTTAAATATATATGATTTTTAAAAGTTATCCCTTGCAATTAAAAAAGGTGGTGGGCTGCAGTCTAGTGTAAAGGCTTAATTGGAGGAGATAAAGGCTTAACACGTGGTGTTGGTAAGCTTCAGTTCCTCTCTAGCTGTTGACTGGACCCCAGTTACTTATGCTCCCAATATTAATACAATGAAATAATCAGTTATTGTTTTAAGCCAAAAAGAAAAGCAAATGTAGCCGGGCTCGGTGGCTCAGCCTGTAATCCCACGCCTTTGGAAGGCTGAAGTGAGTGGATTGCCTGAGCCCGTGGGTTCGAGACCCGCCTGGGCAACTTGGCGAGACCTCATCTCTACAATAAATCAAAAATCAGCCGGGTGTGGTAGTGTGCGCCTGTAATTCCACATACTCTAAAGGCTGAGGCGGAAGGATCGCCGGAGCCCAGCAGGTCGAGGCTGCTGTGGCCAGGAGGAGTGGCAACTGCACTCCAGTCTGGGTGACAGGGTGAGACTCCAAGTCAAAAAGAAAAGAAAATGCATGTTTTGTGCATAGATGAAAGCCCTAGAATAACAGAAACCTGGTTGACATTTGTTTTTATTTATTTATTTGATTGATTGGAGTCTCACTCTGTTGCCTAGACTGGAGTGCAGTGGCATGAGCATGGTTTACTGTAGCCTTGACTTCCTTGGCTCAGGTGATCCTTCCTCCTCAACCTCCTGAGTAGCTGAGGTTACAGGCATGTGCCAGCAAGCCCAGCTAATTTTTTTATTTTTTGTAGAGATGAGGTCTCAGTATGTTGCCTAGGCTGGACTCGAACTCCTGGGCTCAAGTGATCCTCCCACCTCGGCCTCCCAAAGTGCTGGGGTTGCAGGTGATAGGTGTGAGGCCACTGCACCTGGCCCTGATTAATGTTTATTGTCTATTGGTAAGGTTACTGATAGCTGAAAAGACAGAAATGAGAGGGAGCTTTTTTTTTCTTAAAGCAGCTTTATTGAGGTGAACAGTTTTGCAGCCATTACCACCATCCAGATGTATGGCCAATCTGTCACCCTAGAAAGTTCTGTGCCAATTTTCATTTAATCCTGCTCCTACTCCATCTCTAGGCAACCCCTGATACACTGTTGAGAAGAGGCACTTTATACCTTTCTGGTGGCATCTTTTAGGTTTTAGACTCTATGCGTATACAGTGTATTTCAAAATTAATTGTAATTTAAAAGATTGTACACCTCCCAATTATTTAGATTTATAATTTGTTTGTTTCAGCCTTTGCTTATAATAGAAAATACCAGCATATAAAGCGCAACATTTTAAATAAAATTTTTAAGGGCCGAAAGCATTGTTGACAAACATCAATCTTGGAGAACTGTGTTTATGTATGTATACTTGCAGTATTTTAGAGAATTGAATGTAGCTTATTTTTTTCTTCAATCTAAGGTCATTTTGAGTACCCTCCTTATAATTCATCTACAATAAGGAGCATATATCATGTGAGAAATATTGAAGTCTATAAGTTAAAACAGGTATGTAAAACGTACATTGCAGCAGACTGGAAAGAATGTTTAATTCTCTACCAAAATGTATTTTGATCATAGTGTGCTGCTTCCAAGAAGAGCAATTCAGTATTTGTAAAATCTGGATCTTGACTTGTTTTTAGGAATCTCACAGAAGAACTCTTTTTACTTTAATATTTTTGAATTTATATTAATAAGTAATAATAAAACATTTATGATATCAAATATTATTACTTAGGGTATGGTTAAAGAATATATGTTTGGGCCGGGAGTGATGGCTTAAGCCTGTAATCCCAGCACTTTGGGAGGCTGAGGTGAGAGGATTACCTGAGCCCACGGGTTTGAGACCAGCCTGGGCAACTTGGTGAGACCTTATCTCTACAATAAATCAAAAAGTTAGCTGGGCATGGAGGCACATGCCTGTGGTTCCAGCTACAGCTACTTGGAAGGCTGAGGTCAAGGCTGCAGTGGCCAGGAGCATGCCACCGCCCTCCAGCCTGGGCGACAGAGTGAGACTCCGACTCAAAAAAAGATACTTTATAGAAAATATTAAGATAAATATTTTGTTTTATGTAACAGTAAATAATGATATTAAATGGAAAATAAGCAACAGAAAAAATGATAGAGGATATGGGGAAATTGTGAAGGCAATATTGAAGGACTGCTGAGCTGCAGAGTGGGAGACTAGGGTGTTGACAGCCCACTGCATGGCTGGCTCTGGGCTAAGCAGATTTCTCATCTGGTATTTCATACCATCTCCACTCAAGTCCTGCGAGGTCGGTCGTCCTCTGATGTCACTTTAAGCACGAGGAGCCCAGACCTGGACAGGCGAGCAGCCTGCCAAGACTTCCTGTAGCTTCATGGTGGAGCCTGCCCGACTGCACTCCTGGCCCTCCTGCCATGTCTGGAGCCTCTAGGCGCATGCCCTGTTTCCACGGTTCTCTTAGTGGCCTTTCTGTCTCATCTGTCTAGGTCCTACCAGTCCTTTAAGACCCAACTGGGTTTAACTTCCCAGTCCTGGCTTTTCTGGTCTAAAGTCATCACCATTTTCTGAATTTTCATTGCATCTATATCATCCATACCAGTTATTCAGCGGTTAGTCAAATCTGTCTCTTTTTTTTGAGTCAGAGTGCTCACCTGTCACCCAGGCTGGATGGAGTGCAGTGGCACACTCATGGCCACTGCAGCCCTGCTGGGCTCAGGCGATCCTTCAGAAGGAATGATAGAGGATATGGGAAAATTGTGAAGGTGATATTGAGGCGGAAGGATAGCTGAAGTAGCTGGAATTACAGGCATGTGCCACCATGCCCGGCTAATTTTTTTGTTGTTGTTGTAGAGATGAGGTCTCACTAAGTTGTCCAGGCTGGTCTCGAACCCGTGGACTCAGGCAATCCTCTCACCTCGGCCTCCCAAAGTGCAGGGATTATAGGTGTGAGCCACCGTGTCTGGCCCAAATCTGTCTTATATTTTGTATTGTCTTGAACAGTTATTTAAGTTGTTTTAATTTAGTTTTTCAAGTTTGTTGTTGTTGTTTTTGAACCCAAGTCTTACTCTTTTGTCCAGGCTGGAGTGCAGTGACATGCTCATGGCTACCACAGCCTCGAGCTTCTGGGCTCAGGTGATCCTTCCGCCTCAGCCTTCCAGTTAGCTGGAACTATAGGTGTGCACCACCACACCTGGCTAATGTTTTTTTATATACTGTAGAGACTGGTTGCCCAGGCTGGTCTCATACCTCTGGGCTCAGGCAGTCCTCTCACCTCCACCTCCCAAAGTGCTGGGATTACAGGCGTGAGACACCACGCCCAACTTTTTCTCAGGTTTTTGTTTCAGATTACTGGAAGGTATTGGGTAAGTAAAGTATGGAGTAAATTCTGTGTCCTTTAATTGTTTAATTAAATATTAATTTATGTAGTAAACGGGTTTTTTGGGGGGTTTTTTGAGTTGGAATCTCACTCTGTTGCCCACACTGGAGTGCAGTGGCCACTCCCGGCCACCGTAGCCTCGACGCTGGGCTCCGGCGATCCTTCCGCCTCAGCCTTCCGAGTAGCCGGAATCCATGCCCAGCTGATTTTTTGATTTATTGTAGAGATGAGGTCTTGCTGCCCAGGCGGGTCTCGAACCCGCAGGCTCAGGCAATCCACTCACCTCAGCCTCCCAAAGGCGCGGGATTACAGGCTGAGCCACCAAGCCCGGCTAACAGTTTTTTTTAGTGTATGCTATGTGAGCCTATTAGAAAAATTTTTTTTCTGATAATCTTTGTACCGGTTATGTTAGAGGACTCATGAAGTCTGATACTCAGAAACCTAGTGTTGTTGGATCTTCAGAATAGTAATTTCATTATCAAAGGGGGAAAATAACTATGGTAATTACAAATTCTATTTTATTTTCTAATTTGTTTCACTTTGGGTCTTACTCTGTTGCCCAGACGGGCATGCAGTGGCACAATCAAGGAAGGCAGGCTCGACTTCATAGGCCTAGGTGATCCTTTTGTCTCAAGTGGCTGGGACTACAGTCCTGTACCCTCATGCCAAGCTAACTTTTTACGTTTTTATTTTGTAGAGTAGATGTTTCACTGTGTGGCCCAGGCTTGTCTTGAGCTCCTGGTCTCAAGCAGTCCTCCCACCTCATTCTCCCAAAGTGCTAGGATTCAGGCCTGAACCAGTACGCCCGGCCTTGTTATGTGTTTCCGAAATGGCACCAAAGACCTAACTGGCAGTCTCATGAAAGTGTGTGTGTCTCTCGCCTCATCGTGCCGCAGAAAACAAGGGCGATTGACGAGGCAGAGGAAAAGCTGCGTCTCCGCCTAGATGAACGAGTGCCCTAGTGTCTTTATCACTTCTTTGAGTAACACGTGCTTAGAATGTTTTACGCACAAATCCCAGCATCTAAGGCGGTAAATGGCTGTGTGGTGGTGGAGAGAGGGGAGGGGGTTGTTTTTGTTCATCTGTTTGTAAGCGTTTCTTTCTTGTTTTGTTTCTAAAGCTGAAGCAGCCAATGGATATATTCTTATCTCATGATTGGCCACGAAGTATATATCATTATGGAAATAAGAAGCAACTTCTTAAGACTAAGTCTTTTTTCCGACAAGAAGTGGAAAATAACACATTAGGAAGTCCTGCTGCCTCGGAGCTATTAGAGCACCTGAAACCCACTTACTGGTTTTCTGCACATCTTCATGTGAAGTTTGCAGCCTTGATGCAGCATCAGGTAGAAAACAAAATTACGTGTTCTTTTACCTAACACACACTTCTGAACATCTGTGGACAAGACACAGTTGAGAAACTAGAGAAAAAAAGAAAACTCACCTCTTGTGAGTAGCTCAGCATCTGATGCTGGGAAGGGACAAGTGAGCAATTGCAAAACAGTGTCATGAGTTGGACAGAAAAGTGCTGCAATGCTGGGGGAGCATCTGAACTAGACGGGGGTGATGGGGATGTGGACAGAGATGAAGATGAGGAAGATTTTCCGGGGACCTTGACAGCTGCACTGAGTCTAGAGGGGCCGGCAAGAAGCAGACTGGAAGGTGTTGCGGGTGGAGGGCGTGAGGTGTGCGGGACTGGAGGTCAGGCCCGGTGCAGCTGGGGGGCCATGGTCGGCTCCTGTGGCCAAGGCCCAGACCGTGAAGCTGAAGCAAGCTGCCAGCTGCCTTGTGCGCCGTGCTCTGGAGTTCTAGCCAGAGGAGATGGGGGAGTCGGGAAGTGATGGCGTCTGGCTTTCGTGTGAGAAAAATTAATTAGGCAGCAGTTCTGGATGGATGGCAGTCTTGTAAAACGGGAGGCAGTGGAGGCTGTGTAAACAAAAGAGGAGGTTCTGGCCGAAGGCGGGGAGAGAGTCCAGAGCGGGAGCAGGCTCCCTAGGGACATGGAAGCAGAGTCATCAGGATTTGGTGACTGAGGGGGGAAGGCGTCGAGGGTGACCTCAGAGCTTTCCTTGGTTAGCTGCGTGGCCGGCAGTGCTTCGTGGTCGGTGAAGAATCAGGACATACTCATCATTGGACTTCAGGAACTGTGCGTGTCTTCCTGCTACCTCTGCGTCTGGCTGGACTCTGACTTCTTCATAAGGCGTTCCACAGGGAAACGGTTTAGAAAATGCTGGGTTCCCAGAGGTAGAGGTTTCTTCTTAGAGACACCCAGAGAATCTCTGAGAGTCTCTGAGGCACTAGTAGGCATTGCCTTTCTCCAGTGGAAGGCGATGTTAGCGTTTCCCAGACTTACCCGACAGCCGCTCTCTGTGTTAGAGGTCACTTTGCCCGTGATCACTTCCTCACACACAGTTGGAAGGTTCTGTCTGAAAATATTCTGATAGGTCCTTTCTGCTCTGGACTCGTTCTTCTCTCCCCAGTTTCGCTGGAAAAGGAGGAGAGGTTACTCCTTTCATTGAGTCTCTACATTTAGTGAGACATGATCTTGTTTATTGTCTCCTCGGCACAAAGGACTGCTTTGCTGCCCATGTCTGTCTGTGATCTCTGTGCCTTCAGTCTTTTTTAATCCAGGTTGAACATCTCTGACCTGACAGTCTGAAATCTGAACTCTAGAATCTGGACCTTTTTTTTTCTGAATTGGGATCTCTGTCGCCCAGGTTGGAGTACAGTGGCACCATCATGGCTCACAGCAGCTCAGCCTCCTAGATTCAGGCATTCCTCCCACCTCAGCCTCCTGAGTAGCTGGGACTACAGGCACACACCACCAATACCAAGCTAATTTTTTAAAATTTTATGTAGAGACGTGATCTTACTCTGTTACCCAGGCTGGTTGTGGGGGGCCAGCCCCTGCAAATTTTGGGGAGTCCCTTGGAAGATGTGGTGGCGTCGGCGAATCTGTAGGGATAGATATTAAAAGAAGGCGAAAGAAAGGACGTGGACAACTGTTCAGTGAAATGAGCAGAAGCCGTTTATTGAAAGTTACAGCAGGTATTTATCCCCAAATTTTAGCAGGCAGTCTCACAAGTCTTTCACGTGAACACAAAGCCACGTGATGCTTAGGTGTGAGGAGGAACAAACCCCAAGATTGTCTCATTGTTCCCTTTGCTAGTTAATGTTCTTCAAAAGCAGTGTAACAATCCTTACTAGTCT